AATCAAAGATGGAGCCACAGAATATGTTTGATACAATTTACTGAGAAGGCTTTTTTAACAAATGGGAAAATGGGAAAGAAAAGTTTTACCCAGTCCTGGAAAAGCAATCAAACACTGAAAGAAATAAAAAGCCTCAAATTAAAGGGTAGATATTTAAAAAGCATTTTACTAGAGGTGCTTTTAGTGTTTATTTTATGGAAATTATTATAAAAATCTTAATTAGTGGCACTACAGTATTACCTTCTACAGAGATGACTATATATTCATATTTGAGCCCAATTTGTTTTCCTGATTATGATATGAAAATAAAATTTCAGTTTTTTTGTTAGTTGTAGTCTAGCTGATATGTATAACAGCATATTTTGTGGTTTTGTAACTGTTCTGTTGATAATTATCCTAGATCTTAAGTAGAAGTCTTTAAAAGCTATTATTTCTCTGAGGAAAAAAAATCAAGGATTTCCAGGGATAGCAGGATGTTTCTGTAAATTCTGCAAATTCCTATAAATCCACTAGGTGGAGATCTCAGCTTCAGAAGAACAAACTGGGCTTCAAGTTCGACACAATGGATCTTGAACAAAAGGAATTTTAATGAGCTTTATTGCCAATTGTTATTAATTTAAGACTTTAAAAACTAAATAATCCATTGGCATGTAGCTTTCAAGGTTTGATCTCCTGAGTTTAGCATGCCTCTATTGTTCTGTGTGAGTACTCCTCCTTATGCACAGGAATTAAATGTGCTTATAAATATTACATTTAAAGCAAGAGCAGAATAAACATCTTTTAATTAAAGACACATTTATTCAAAAAATATAAGCACACACAATTTTATTTATGCCCCAGTAAAATGTTTAAAGCATACTTTCATGGCATAGAATGTTATAATATTTCACATTTCCCAGGGGAGAAAAAGGTTTAAAAGGAAGCAAACTTCTCTCTTTGTTTCTGTACAGGTCTCCGTATCTTTATATCTACATGTGGTATTATAAAACTTAAAGGATTACTAGAACAATATGCATATTGCTTACATGCCCCACCTATGTTCTTTATCCCTTCCTATTCAGAATTGTCAGCAAAAGACTTAACTTTTTCAATTTGAATTTTTAGCCTTCTTCCTCTTTTCTCACCAAGATTCAGAACTCTCTTGCTTTTAACTTCAAATCCTGCCCCTGTCATATTATTTGGCCTCTTTGCCTGAGCTTAACTCTGTGCCATCTGTATGCTTTCCCTGCTTCCATTTCATTCTCTTAAGCACCTTTAAGGTGAGAAGAGCATCTGTGCCAACTACCTGCATGACAAGCTTATTTGAATCCCCAGCTCCCCAGCTTTGTAGATCAGGTTACTTTTTTTCTCTGTTGCTGTCTTTACTTTTCTCTTTCTATTTTTTTAAAGCATTATCCCTTTATCATAGAGTGCTTAGCTTCGTTCTCTCTCCTCACTGCCAACAGTAACCCTGATATGTAAGGGCCAACACCTACTCTTGGTTACTAGCTGCCTTTCAGAATGCACCAATGATAGTTCTAGACATTTTCCTCTTTTCCATTTCTGAAATCCACTCTTTCACCTTTTTATGATGCTGCCTTTGAGATGGTTGTCAGGGTTACCCTTGGTCCCAAATCCACGGTTGTCATTGTGGTCCCTGTGTTCCAATCAGCAGGATCCCTGTAACACAGTACACGATTGGCTGACCTGACTTCAGTATCTTTTCCTTCAGTTTTGACCTAGTCATTCCCAACTCTGGGGGGCACATATGACTAGGGTGCTTGTTAAAATGCAGTCTCAGGCTCCATACCAGTCAGTAGAATTAGGATAGAGCTCCAGAATCTTCTTTTTAACAACAATCCTGGATAATCTGGAGTATGTATTTTCCTGCTCACATGCTGAGAAAAAAAGGTTTAGCTATTCCAATGAACACCAGAAGATTATTCAATGTTTGTTTCTTTATAGAAACTACATATAAATTCTGAGTCAATAAACCCTTCATATCCAATTCAAATAAATTTTGAAAAAATTACTTTTATTATATATTTTCACTGCTTTAGAGACAAAGATAGATTACTTATAACTTCATGTCCAAATTCCCATTCAGGTTTCCAAGGCTTTCCAAATATGATTCTATCAGGATTCTTTTCTACCTCACATTGCTTTCTAACAACCTCCAAAGGACCTCACATTGCTTTCTAACAACTTCCAAAGGACTGGTATTCTCACTGTCCTCTGTGTACCATATTTGTTTCTTGACTAAGAAGATACATATATGAGAAAATACTGGGTTTCAAATTCAAGGAATGAGGAAAGTATAGATATGAAAGAACAATTAGTAAAGAAAGTAAGGAACAGGATAGCATGATGTTAGTGTCTTAGATCCAAAGAAGAACTTGTTTCAAAGGATATCTGTCACAGAAATTTAACCTCTCAGTGGTTACAATGTTCCAATAACTAGTAGGTCCCTTGTCCTTTTTCTCCCAATGAATTTGTACATGTCCTCCTTGCTTGAGTTGGGTTATTATCTCACTAACCCTTCATTCAGCAAGCTCCTATATATGGTTTATGATCTCTCCTCAAGCATCACTTCTTATGGGAAAATTTCCCTAACCTATGCTATCTCCAACTTGCTAGTATTCTTTTAGTATGAATTACCATAAAGTCTTTTTTCCTTTAGTCTTGGCTTTAACTGTAGAATCATTAATATGTGCCTTTAATTAATCTCCATATAACTACTGGCCTTAAAGTCCATGCATCTTAAATCCTCAGCCCCTTTCATTGGACAGTATGTAGTAAGAACTCAAATTAATTGTTGAAGGAAAATAAAAATTATCTCATTGTTCCCTTTTTTCTCACCACTCAGTCTACTGACATGGTAAAGACCTTGCTGGGTGACATAATGATGACAGAAACAGCTCAACTTTACAGTGGGAGGTGGATAGCAAGGCCAAGCCAGGACTGAATTGAGAAGTTCAGACATTGCCAGAAAGTTGGAGATTTGCTTTCCTAATGTGTTTTCTCTTTCTCTTCCTCCCTGAACCTCATCACTATAGCTCAGACTCACTGCTTAGCCCCACAATGTTCCCACTAAGCAATTTATTTGGGCCTCCTATATATATATTTCTCTTTAATAATGTCCTCCTTTAGCCCTATTACTATTTCTCTTTCTCATTTCCCAATGTTTTGCTTGAGGCATACATTCTACCCTAAACATGCTTTTAGAATAAGCCAATGATTTGCTTTTATCTCCAAATGAAAACTTCCACATGTCCTTTATCTATGATCATGGGATTAGTTAATAAAATAAAAAAGATTCCCTTGATGGGTATTTTATGTGCAACTTTGGTACAACTCTCTTTATACAGAGAGAAGGGACATCTGTATTGGGTGCTTGACACATTTATCCTGAGAATATATGCCTGAGGTTCATATTGAAAACAAAGACAAGTTTTGCCAAATTAATTTAACTCACATAATTTTCAAGATAAAATTTCCTAGATCTCAAAATCTAGATATGGAACTAGAGGTATTGACAAGCAAGTGTGGAATTTGTTCACTTACTTAGCAAAAAAAAAAAAAAGCATCTAATAGGTGATAAGTCCTAGGGTGATACCAATGAACAAAACAGGTAATCATCATCATTATCGTCATCATCATCATCATCATCATCATCATCATCATCCCTGCTTCTATGTTCTATGGAGCATAGAGTAGTGAGAAGATTCTTAACCTATAGCATGTCAGAAGGACTGGTCAGAAGTTTATCTGAAATACTCAATCCATATTCCACAAGAACTTTTATTTGCTTCATAAGAGTTTCTGTGCTCTCAAGTGGGATTGGATAATGACTTGGATTTTACCTTTCAAAAAAGGAGGCGTTTGCCTTTAGAAAAAGAATAAGAAACTTGTTTTCTCTATCTAAATGTGTGGACATTTTACTTTGTTGAGGTACTTTCTGAAATAATAATAGCCACACTTTATCGGCTCCCTTGTCAAAGAGTGATAAAGTGTCTAGGATTGATCAGAAACAAGATCGTATAAGAAAACAACAACAATAACTAGGATTATTTGGACTGGCAAACGAAAGCCATTAAGCTTTTTTTGTATGAGAATTTCCAGGGTGAAGAACACAGACTAATACCCTCCATTCAAAGGAAAAGACTCAATGGATATACTGATGTCAAGACACAAGGATTTCAATAAATCCTTATTTATAAGAAAATAACTGGCCAAGGAATTCTTGGACACACGACTGAACTGTAACACCAGGAGAGAAGCTGTAGGACCACCTCAGTCAATCTCTGAGAATAGTAGACATCACCTGATATGGCACACAAGTGAGAAGAATCACTTTATGGAGACTAATGGTCTGCTATTTTTTTCCTAGTTATAGACTGTCATTCCCCCTCTACTCTCTTAGATTTAAGATCACATTTAAAATATTCTTTTGGCTGTTTAAATATCCTCCTTTACTTTTTACTTACTCTTTCCGTAGCATTGTTCTCTTCATTTGAGCTCTAAGTCTGTGTTATTAACCACATCATCAATCACTTAGAGAAGTAACAGAGGACTAGGACTCAGGTCTTCTGATTACTACTGCTTGAGCTAGTGCTCCTGAAGACTACTTTCCCTTGGGTCTCTGCCTGAAAGCCTACTTTGCATCAAAAGCCAACCCAAATCCATCTTGTACCAATTTCTTTTGTCAGAAAAAGACTAAGTGTGGCTCAAGTATAGTTAATAAAATTGCAGCTGAGATAAGACTGTGAGTCATCTCTCATACCCTGGTCTCTCTTTTACTAATCAGTTGTAAGAAACATTTCAAAATCAGAGAGCAGCAGCAAAGAAATATGAGCTATTCAGACTTCTTGAGGCAATTAGAGACTAAAGAGCAGAAGACAAATTAGTCTTTCTGCCTTGACAGTCTTAAAATACACCCTGGAAGTAGACTTTGGAGTTACACTATTTGTGACAGATTTTGACCATAACACATTTTCTAAGAGGACATAAAAATTACTCACTTCAGGACATGCATTCCACCCTCGCATCAGCAAAGATGATATGGGTTTGGGAATGGAATAGCCAATGGGAGGCCTAATATGGTGGTAAGCCATGTCTGCTGCTGCAGCTGCTGCAAAACAAATGGGTCATGTCAGTTTTGAAATTCACATATTTATATCAAGAAACAGGAACAGATACACACACAAAAAGTCAACAAAAATCAGTTTGTATAACATCAGTTGAGCTTCAAAGAGACCTCTAGGCTGTGTTTTTTTCCTCTGTGCTTTTAACAAAATAGTGGATTATTTTATAGTCTGTCTTTGTAATTGTTCATTCATTTGGCTGTTGGCAATAAATAGGAGAAGTGAAATTTTTTAAAGGAGCAAATGACCATTGAAGGAGCAAGTCATTTAGAGTGCTTTAAGTACAAAGTATGTGCATAATGTTATAGGAAGCAAAGACTGAAAGTTGGATTGGACAAGATTGTATGATGTCATAACTCCAAGACTAAAGAGATTATATTCTGCCTACCAAGCCATGGGATAATGCTGAACTTTGTACTTTTAAAGGCAGCTATATTACTTTGGAAAAACAGATGTTTAGTTAAACTCAAATTTTATCACTAATACAAAGATTCTGAAATTTTAATTTTTAATATTTATAAACTAGTTATTACTTGTTAAACTCTGTTAGGCACTTCAAATCCATTGTCTTAGCAAATACAACTCATTGATTAAATTCTCTAATATTGCCTGCTTATATGGATTTCCAAATAGTGTTCATGTCTAGTTGTGCATCACTACGTTATGATTCTAGGGACTTCACTGTACATTCCTGATTGCTCAGTAGTTTTCTGTTCTGCAAGCAGTGAATTCTATGCTACCTTAGAAACCAAGCTCATAGCTACTTTTATTAAAAAAAATTTCTGTCAGGCATCATGGTAGATACACACACACACACAAACACACACACACACACACTTCTTGAATCTTCTTAACCATCCAAAGTAGGTAGATATTATTGTATATGTATGTGACAGTTTTAAATTAATAAACATTTTAAGTATTGCTAATAGTTGGTATAGCCTTTTGTTCCAAAGTTCATGCTTTTTGAGCACATGATATTGTTTATTTCTCAGAAACACTGTTCTTCACCAGTGGGAGAATAAAGTTCCAGTATATTGCTGCTTCCTGTTTTCTAGTTCATATTTTAAGCATATATCAGTAGCTTAATGACTTTTGAGATATAACCCATACCCACTAATTTTCCCCCACCAAAATCCACTCCCATTTAATTCTGTTTATCCATCTACTTCCAGTAGAGCTAGTGAAACTTCATGCAGTGTAACTGTGTAACTTAAAATATATTTTGCTTTATGGATTATTCTGAATTACCACCTAATGAAATTAACACTTGTTCTTTGCAGAAATTGAGAAAATTAAGAGAAGGATTAAGGAAATTAAGAGAATAAGGAAGAAAAAATGTTATCATTCAGAGGCAACGGTTATCAAAATATTTTGAAAATTTCTTATATATTCTTGGTATCAGGAAGCTTATGCTGATAGACAATTATGTAATTCCTTTTTCCTAAATTAAAGCATTAGGTTAAGCAATTAAGCATTTCTCATGTTATTAAAACTCTAAGTTAACATATTTTTAATGACTCTGCATTTAGTGTGATTTGCTTAATCACTTCCCAATTTTAGGTCGTTCCAAATACTTCAAAGAATATCTTTTTTCATTTTGTTTCTCTATTTCATAAATTATACATTATGACATATTAAGGGATGAGAATAATATATTGAAGGGCACAACTACTTTAAAGATTTTGGTACATACTGATAACCTATTACCCAAACAGTTGTATTAATTTATACTCTGAATAGCAAGTGCGTATGAGAGTTATCATTATATCTGCACCAGGGAAATATTTTACTAGTTTGAGAGGCAAATATATCCATCACTCTTGTTTAGATTGTGTTGTTACTTATCACATACATTACTACTTACCAAATGTATCCTTTATGTCACAAAATTTAGCCATGCTTGATTCTTTTCATTGATTACTCTTGATGATTTTTAATTCCTTTTAGAATTAGTAAAACAGTAAGCAAACAAGCAAACTATTGCTTAATGATCACTAATCTTCTGTATTCCACTCTGTTACCTTATGACTATTCGAATAATTCTAAGCTGGTACCACTATGAACACATAAACCAGTTTAGTGAACATATTTAAGTTAATTAGAGGTCTCCTAATGTGCAGAAAGGGACCATGCATAAAATGAGCTAAACTCAGATGCAGATCCCAATCATCTCCCTTCTGAGACTTTTAGATTTAGATATCAAGTGTATGAAGTTACTTGCTTTCTTCTTGGCACTGTGTCTGGAAAATCAGTTTAAGATGAATGATATTTAATTCTTCATTATTCAAAGTAGATTCTGCAAAGCTCTGGCATCTCCTTCTCCTGTTTGATTTATGCACTCTTGGCAGTGATACTACTCATTATCACCTCACCAGAAAGTGGGCAGTGCAACATGAGGGGTCATGGAATTGGAACTTGTCACCTTCTGATGGTTTTGTCAGTCTTGTCTATGTGTCCAGGCTATATGAACAGCTGGGAAATTTTCTGGTACTACAGATTCAGGAATGAGACTGTCAGCTCATTCATCAAATTTTTGCCTTGATCATTACAAAAATATGTAAATGTTGGTTTCTACTTTCAGAAGGAAAACTTTGCCATTAAAAGAGAATGAAACTAAGTTTAAAAATAACTACTATATATTGAGCAATTATTATTTTTCAACACTATTCTGAAATAAATATAGTTTATTAAACCTTACAACTAGCTTCTAGAGCAAAACACCTCTCATGAAACTCTCTGTAACCAATGAAAATATTCTTCTGCACTGTTCAATATGTTGGCATAAGAGTGCTGAACTCTTAAAATGTGGATAGCGTCACTGAGAAACTGAAGTTTTAATTTGTTTAATTTAAATTCAAATAAATTTAAATTTAAATAGTCATGGCTAGTGGCTTCCATATTGAACAGCACAATTCTACAGGATAGAGTTCTCCCACTCCCATTATCCTGAATAATGAGACCTGAGTTAAATACAAGTTTATGATTCAACCTCAAGGATCTATGTAACCATGGAATCAATTTGTGGATTCAAGTTCTTCATTATTTATCAACACTTTATCAAGAAAAACAATGAATGAAATTCGTTGGTGTTGTCTTTCAAAAGAGATAGACCAGTGAGCTACAGAACAAGCAACCAAAACAAAATGTGACAACTTTCATTCATTTATTCATACATCAGAATGTACTAAGTATTCTATGTAAGTATAATAAGTAAAGAAAAAAATATGGTGCTATTCTTTTTGGTAAAATTTGGCAAATGCACAGATAATTAATAAATGAGTAGATTTTCTCCTGCTTTTTATTGTTCAATTGTAAATTCTAAAATGTGATTCCTTTTGCCCAGAATATTCTTCCCTAGCCTCTTGTCCTTTATAACATCTGTTATTTTCTAGACCTTAGCTTAAATCTGCTTTCTCTGGGTAACCTTTTATTATGTTTCTAGCATTCTATACTATTATAGCACCCCATATACTCTACTGTATTGCCTATTTACTTCTTTCCTCTGTGTGCAGATCACAAGCTCCTTGATGCCAGCACTACATCTTTTCATGATTGTATCTCTGCCTTGAACAATAATTGGCAATTAATAGGTATTCAAAAGGTATGCATTAAATGAATAAGTAAAAGTTATAGTTCAAAATGTCCCTTCACTGGAAAATAATACAGATTCTAATAGGACTTGGTAAATATTTAGTGAATATATGAATGAGAATATACATAAATGACTAGGAATAATTAATTACTCATTGCATTTTCAGAACAGCACAATGCTTAGTTTTCAAGAAACATTATAGGATGAATATTATGTTTACTTTAATATTACATTACAACATAATCAGGTAAATTATTGAGATCTGGTGGCCAATTCAGTCAATAACATTGTCTTTTGTTCAGAAAATTTGGCGAGGAGCTTCAATAAATGGAAGCACTATAACACATTAAAGAAATGCCCTTAATAGGGAAATCTGGAGACCTAATTTCTCTCTGGCTTTGCTCTAAACTCTCTGGGAGATCCTAATTAAGCCAATTTGCCTCTGTGTGTAATAATTTCACTGCATGTAAGATGAAGCAGGAAATATAAAGTGTAATGGTGCTGCACAGTGCACTGGGGACAAACAGTCATGCATTTAAGCCTTGATGACACCTCTTAACTAGCATGTGACATTGAGCATGTGTCTTATCTATCCTAAGAGGACCTTTATTATGACCTCGAGCACGTGTTTTATCCTAACAGGACCTAAATCATGAGGACTAACTGATAAAATATCCATACAACACCCAGCACATTGTTGGCTCTCAACAAGTGCTAGCTGTGTTGTTGCTGTTATTATCATTATGTACAAATCTAAGAGTTGAATTGATAGCTTTCAGTTCACACCTAGAGAATTTTTTTTTTTTTAATTTTTTATTGTGGGTTGTTCAAAACATTACAAATTTCTTGACATATCATATTCCACACTTTGATTCAAGTGGGTTATGAACTCCCACCTTCACCCCATACACAGATTGCAGATTCACATCAGTTACACATCCATTGATTTACAAATTGCCATACTAGTGTCTGTTGTGCTCCGCTGCCTTTCCCATCATCCACCCTCCCCCCTCCCCACCTCTCCCCTCCCCTCCCCTCCTCTCTCTCTACCCCCTCCACTGTATAACCCTGAGGGTCTCCTTCCATTACCGTGCAATTTCCCTTCTCTCTCCCTTTCCCTCCCACCTCTCATCCCTGTTAAATGTTAATCTTCTTCTCCTGTTCTTCATCCCTACTCTGTTCTTAGTTACTTTCCTTATATCAAAGAAGACATTTGGCATTTGTTTTTTAGGGATTGGCTAGCTTCACTTAGCATAATCTGCTCTAATGCCATCCATTTCCCTGTAAATTCTATGATTTTGTCATTTTTTAATGCAGAGTAATACTCCATTGTGTATAAATGCCACATTTTTTTTATCCATTCGTCTATTGAAGGGCATCTAGGTTGGT